GAATATTGGGTAGGCAACCAGGCATGACTGATACCATGTTTGTCTCAAGCTCACAATGAGGTAGATTCTGCCTTCTGTTTCTTGATCCAGTGCTATAGATAATTGAGCAAAAATCACGGGAGGTGGTATGGCATTGTGGCTTCTCCCTAATCTGCCATGCTTTGGTTGGTGACACTTATCTGTTCCTTAGTTTACTCACTTGTAATATAAGAACAATGGTAACATTTCTCATATGGCTTCAGGAAGAATAAGTGGAGTTGATGGTTAGAACAGTACCCAGTACCTCATAACATAGGAATGTTTGCTATCATTATGATTTGTAATCTCCTATTTGCAATAGTTCAGAGTCCTTGAATCTTGCAGATGGCCAGCACACATCTTGAAGAAGCACAACAAAGAGCCAGTAGGGGTAATTAAGTTTTAAATCAGAGGTTTGGTTCTTGTTAATACAACTAGGGAATCTTTTCACATCACAAATAATGGGATTATCCTGCAAGTAAGTCAGCATGACACAAAATACATGGTCAGTGATAGGAAATACTTTTCTATTCACTTTCATGAATAGCCTATGTCTTTGCAGCCTGAATTTTCATCTTCAGTACATGTGCCTGCTTTGTTTATTGAGCTTTTAAAAAAATGTGGTGAACTTCATACACTAGTCTTTTGTACTAGCGGTATAAGGAACAACTACCTCCAAAGACATAGTACATGGAATCCTTCTACCAGATCAACTTAAAAAAAAAAAAACAACAACTCTTTAATTGGACAATAGTTTAATCCTCTCAACAGTGTAATGGTAGTTGATAATATTTTGAAATTATCTTTGTCTTGTCTGCTACTTGAATGGCATGGAAAAATTTCCCTCCACTTTTTTACCCTCTCCCAAGAGTCATTTTATTTGCTCTTTTTTCTGCCCTGCCTGGCCTCTGACCTTGCCCAGCTCTGCAGTTCCCATGGACTTCTGAATCTAATTAATGCCTTGGTGGCTATATAAGTGAATTATATAGGCAGGAGGATGTTAGAAACTTTGAGGAAGGTACATTCCTTGGGAAAACCTAGTTTTGTAAAAACAAATAAAAAGAAATGCATTGTAGGGGGTAGAATGTTAGTAAAGTGTAAAACACAAGTAACACACCCCACTCATTAAATATCTGTTGATATTTAGATGCAGATGCAACCTTAGAAGCATTTCTTTTGACATCTGTGCAATAATCAGCCATTATGGAAGCTGGCTGAGGGGCAAATAGTCCAAATAAGCCACTACTGCAAATGGCCCTCAGCCATGTGATGGGGGTGCTGGCCCCCTATCCCTTTCCCTTCCTTTTCAGGCCATTTCACAGCCATTTGTGGGAAGTATGGGTAAATGATCTCTGAAATGACCCTGACTTCCAGGGCCAAGAACATTCTTAAACTCTCCAGGACGTGGGCAGACAAGGGGGAGGAGCCCAGAGTGCTGAAGTTCTCTGCCAGAGGATACTGTCGGAGAGCCCAAGGCAGAGATGGTCCCTATGCCCCATGTTTCCATGGAAACATAGGAGGAGTGATGACAGCCAGCACAGCCACACCATCTGCTCGGGACCTGGTGAATGATGAAAAAAATAGAAACAGAACGGCACCTCGATCCCAGTGGTGAGGCAAAGACCTAAAGACACTAGAACTCCTAGGTGGATTAAAACACAAGCCATCCTGGGCTTGACATGTTAGCATGTAATTTGCAAGCAGAAAGCCTAGAGGGCTTATTCTGCAATCCTTAGATACAGTCACAAACACCTAAGAAGCCCATGGAAGGAGAAATAGCCTGCCTGTGGGTCTGCAGCCTGGCTGCAATAGGAAATAAGGTGTAGTGACAAACCCTGCAGGGGAAGATGGAGCAGAGGCTCCCATCACCTTCCATCAAGGCCACCTGCACAGCTGGCTTTCAGCCAAGCATCGTTTTCTAGGAGAATGGAGAGATTATAAAAGGAAAATTCCTACCTGGTCACAAAGGCTACCTCTGAGTTGCAGCCATGTCTTCGGAATAAGGAATTAATAAAACCATATAAGGTCTTTCTTCTCTCCATTCATAGCCAAAGGGAGACCTTAGTTGGATGCCACAGATTTGCTTCTGGGCCTACTTAGGAAGCTTCCCATTCTGGGTTTGGGGGCTATGAGTGGGGCCCTTGCTAAGTACACTTGTAAGCTTTCCCCAGAATGAGCAGGATTCATTCCTTAGTTCCTTTCTGCATAGATTTTGCTCAAACAAACAGACCTGGCTAGGAAACCAGCAGCTCCCCTCACTGAAATGCCTCCTCCACAGGAACTATGTAGTTTCATTCAGTGTCTGTGGAACTGCTGGATCTATCTCAGGAGAAAAGTCCCTTAAGTAAGTCTCAAGGTCGACTTTATAGGAAACACCAGTTTTTATTTTTAATATTCCTTGACAGAATTTGCTTCCCTTTTAGGTCTGGCATTCTAATTCCAGAAAGTCTAAGCTCTTTTTTGCTTTGTATTAAGGATTTCAAATTTGACAACTAAACTAAACACTTGTTTTGGTACAGGTACATAGGGGCTAGAGAATAATGGGAACATCTTAATAAACAAGACTAATAATAATAAAAAAAAGTCTCCCCATTAAGGCTCTTATTAACTATTCTACATTTTACTTGTAAATACTACTCATTTAGATTTATTTCCATGACACCTTCATAAAAATGGTACCTACAACTATTATTTGGGTTTTCAAAAGGTCCTATTCTCCAACTGAACATCCTACACAAAAATATACAATGGAAATAAAAGTATTAATGTAATTTAACCCAGGCTAGAGGGCCCAAACAGAAAATAGGAGCTATTTCTGATTAAAAAAAATGTAAATACCCATGGTGAACTTGCTTTAGGTTCAAGTACACTCATGCATTAACATAAAGCACTGTGTTTAAATTCAAATATAAATCTCCCTTTGAAGTAAACTGCTCCACTAGCTCCATATACTCTAGTGCTTTCTCTTTCTCTTTTCTGGGACCATGTATTTATCTTCAGTCTCTACAGTGAAGGCAAATCTGTATCTTGAGCTTCAAGCTCTGGATGGGACTCCCAGTAAACATGGTTCTGTTTGTCCTTCAGCAGCCCTCCTTTGTATAAACAGATGTGGTGGGAAGGGAAGGAGAGCCAGATCTCTGTGAGGGGTGGGAGGTCTGCTTTCTGGAAGCTTCCCGGCTGCAGCCCCCAGCACAGGGACAGGATGCATTCCTGGTCTAGGCTGTGGAACTTGCAGTTCTTCCAGAGAGGGGCTGTTCCCTCCTCTTCTCCACCCGCCGCCGATCCTTTGTTCCTGGGAATGCTGTCTGGATGGCTCAGGCATCTCACTTTTGCCAGAGCAAACATTTCTAGCAAACACGTATGCTGAGGAGATATTATGAAAACAGACTTTTTTCTTCTCTTCAAATACACTGTGGATTGGGATTTGGGACAACAGTCCTTCTCACCTGTACTTTCTACTGTATTCAGAGTCTCTTTGTTCTCTTGTAGCCTTGGTACTTACCTTCAACTAATGAGGGAGGCTTTTAGGGATCAGAATTGTCAGCCTGTAAAATAACAATTTAATTTTCTCAAACTATGTGGACACTCACTCTGCCTTAATTTGTTTTACATTTTGCACATTAATTATAGATGCCAATAAAGGAAGGACTACTTCAGAGTTGGGGGAGTGAACATTTTGTCATACAACTCCAAATGGGAAGGAATTCTCATTGGTCTTTTCTTCCTCTGCACGTTCGCCAGACTTCATTTGTTAATCCTCATTCAGGGGTCACGGAGGGGAGTGGGTGACTCTCAGGCTTGACCCTGGAGGGATCCTGTGTCTTCTACCCAAGGGTCTATATTTCCAGGGACCCCAGTCAGTGGTTCTTCTCACTGAGAAAGAACAAAGGGGAGAGTACCAGAAAGGCCTCTCCATGGTGGGGAGTGGGAGTTTGAGGCAAGTGGTGGGACCTAACTACATTGCTCTGTACTGCTCTCTCCAGGAAATCTCTGGAGTCCTGAGTGAGGCTCCCAGAGCTGTGGCCAAGAGGACAAGGAAGGTGGGGGATGGAGTAGGGTTCCCGGTTTAGGAGAAACACATCTAGACGTGGGATTCTCAGCATATCCATAAAAGTCAGGGAGGGGAAAATGTCATTTAAAATAAAGGAAGCAATAATAGGGACTTGAGAGCCACAATGGCACTCTATTACCCTTCCAGCTGACAGACGACACTCTCCAGATTGGAGATGGGGCAGGAAGTTTGCAGTCTACACCCAGAGGCCTGCCCCCTTCCCTGAAAGAAATAAAAAGAGGGGAGCTTGGTTTCCTGGGACGAGCCAGCTGGTGGATGGTGGGACCCCCACTGCAGGCCAAACTGCGGGTCCCGCCAGGAGAGCTATCCTCACGCTTCTCCTTAATTTCCCTCAACTTAACTGACTCCAGATATTTTAAACGGTTTGTTTACGGCGCTGCTGGAGGCGGCACAGTTAACTCTCACGGGCCTGGGGCGGTCCGGAATTCCCCGGCACCGACTCTAGGTCTGCAGGCTCCCCGCAGCGGGAGAGCCCGGCAGGGTCAAAGTGGATCCTGGGCCCAAAACAAGAGCTTGCAGACCAGGAGGAGCGGGCGGGCCGGGGCGGGCGGCAGGAGGTGCGCCAGGCGGCCCGCTCAGCATCCCCCGCCCGGCGCCACCGCCTGGCCTTCCGCCCCTCTCGCAGGGCCGCCCCAGGCGTCCCAGAGGGTCCGAGGGTCCGGCGGGCGCCAGGGGTGCCGGGAGCAGAGCAGCGCGGCCTGCGGGTGCCGCGGGACCCCAAGGGGCGGCGCGGGGAGCGCAGGGGCGCGCGGGCAGGCGCGGCGCGGGGCTCCGGGTGCGCGCGCCTCGGCCTCGCCCGCGCACACGCGCCTCCCTGAGGAGAAAGAGGCGGCAGGCTGCGCGGAGCGCGGCGGTGGGGGCAGCGGGCCGGGCCGCGGTGGGGCGGGGAGGAGGAGGGGCAGGCGCGGCGGCGGCGCGGCGAGCTAGCGGCTCTCCCGAGTGTGCCTGCGCGGGAGCCGGCGAGCGGGTGAGTGTGGCTGCTGCTGCCCAGCCGGCCCGCGCCGGGGGCGGGGGCGCGGGGAGCCCGACCAAGGTGGGGGGTGGCGAGGGGGGCGGGCGGCGGCAGCAACCCCGGCGCGGCTGGGATGCACCTTGAGCGCCGTTTTTCGTTGCAGCGCGCGGGCGGCCCGAGCCTCGGCGGCGGCGGCAGCACTGACACCGACACCTCCCACCATGGACAGCTTCGACTTAGCTCTGCTCCAGGAATGGGACCTCGAGTCACTGTGGTGAGTCCCTGCGCGGGCCGCCAGGGCGGGCAGGAGCTACGAGGGTTCGGCCAGAGCCTCACCTGGGCCAGGCGCTGCGCCGTGGGGGTGGGGTGGGTCCGGGCGCCCGCTGCGCCCGCTGCGCCCGCTTCTTCCTGCCTCACCGGGTGGATGCGCGGCCGCCTGCTTGTCTTCTTGCCCCCTTTCCAGTCTCCTCTCTCCCGTGCTGCTCGCCCCAGCCCAGGGGCCGGTGATCTGGGGAGCCAGGGGCAGAGCGCAGCCATGGAAAGAAAAAAAAGAACCGATTTCTAGAACGTGTCACTAGTGTCCGAACCCACCCTTCAATCCCCTACCCCCTCTCTTCTCCCTTCCCTCTCGTGAACCCCTTCCCTCTTCTCCGAGAGCCTCTGGTTTTCACCAGCGGACCCCCTGGAGTTGGGGCTTCAGCGTAGTGCCCTCAGAGGATGCTCTAGCCACTGCCTGTCGGCGCCGGGTCTTGGCAGCTGCGTCCTTTCTGCCCCTCCCACCCACTACCAGCCGAGATGGAAGTGAGCACCAGGGCAGGGGGCGAGTGTTTCACCGTGTGGGAATTCCAGAGGCCTTGGCCCAGGGACACTCATTTCCTCGAGGTTAATTCCTTTGGGCCCTTTCTGCACACCTCTGCACAGTCGTCCTCTTCATCTTACCCACTCCACCCACCCGCCTCACGCAGCCCTTTCTGCCCGGTTGGCGGCTCAAAGCCCGGGGCGCTGGCGGCCTGGGAGCCCTCCGGCTTCGGTGCCCGGGTTCTCACATTGAGGAGCTGCTAGAAGCAGTTTAATTCCGGTTGCGGGTATTTAAAAAATTTCATTGGCTGCTTCAACATCCCCCACCCCGCCCGGACCTCCCCCCGCCCCCATCGCCTAAGTGTTTCCAACCGGCCCTGTTCAGGTGGTAAAATTACTGCCTGCATATTATTCCTGGAGGAAGTTGTGTTCTGTTTAATATTTACGGGAATGAACATCAGCTGAAACAAGCATATTAACTGCACTCTGTTCTGTCTCTGGTAATCGCTTACTGTGGAGCTGAGCTTTTTCTTTTGCTGGGGGGATTAATTCTGTAAAGAGTTCACATGTCTTCTACTCCAAGTGGTGTGCACATGAATATGCAAAGTACAGTTTTAAAACTAAACTGCTTTATGATTTATAAATCATAGATTGTCGAGATGATATGTGGATGTATGTATATTTTCAGTGATTTAGGTTTGTAGCGACTTTTTCTAAACCCAGGTGTTACAAAGTTGACACAAAACTAGCGCATTATGGAGCCGTTTCTTATAAAATACATGAGGATGGGCCCTAATGTAATAAAACTTTTATATGTTACACTGTGGAAAATTGGGAACTTCAAAGAGCCAGTGTAGAAAGAATATGAAACATGTTATTACTCTATAAAAGTTGCTAATTACTGTGTTGTTGCTCCCGGGGATATTTCAGCCTTTCATTTACAGATACCTATTATTTTACAGATTTACATTTAGGAATGTTGGTTTCTAGCACAAATTCAAAAGGTTTCTAGGTAGCAACTGTGCTTTGAAAATGACTTTTGCTTTTAAAAGAGAGGTTTTCAGTCAAAGAGAAGAACTAACTTATTGTTTTGGCATATTTTCATGCTGTTTGTCTGCCTGCTGACTCAAATTAAAGCCCTCTAATGATTTTTATGAGTAATGTTTTGAAATTATCAGCCATAACCTGTGGGCTTTTCCAGCACAGGGCCTTGAGCCTATTTCCCTTTGCATCCTTCCTTCCCATATGTTACCTGGAGCACAGTTATACAATAAATGTCTGTTGAGTTGACTTGAAACTTACATTAGCCACAATATACTTATTCTTTTAAAAGTGAAAAAAAATTAATCATTTTTTAAAAGTTGCTACCCATGAAATCAGGTTTTAATTAATCTGTCAACTTATTTTTGGCTTATGAAAGCATGCTGACTGTCTTGCTTTCAATATGGGACAGTTTAGTTTGACTGAGGGAGTGTTTACAGATGTAGAATTTTACATTTTACTAACGCTTATCTATTTCTGATAAAGATAAACCAAACTGCTTGAGTATGTATTTTAATATAGACGTTTTCTCAGTCATAGATGAATTTTTGGATGGTATTTTCTAACTCAATTTTGTGGTTGACTTTTAAGCTTATAACTCTTTAACTTTACTGATCGCTTTTAAACTTACAGGTGATCCAAAGTAACTAACATTTGTGTACTTTTTGCATGTCAGATGCTTTCCTATACATTTTTTTCTTATTTGGATCTCGTTAACAATCCTAGAGGTGGCAAGTGGTAGTAGTCCCATTTTATAAACAAGTAAGTAGTGGTTTTGAACTGTAAAGTGACTTTTCTGAGACTATAAAACAAATGGACATTTAGTGAACACTTACCATTTAGCAGATACTGTTCTAAATATATTACATGTTTTAACTCTTCTAAATACACCACATGTTTGCCCGGCCAGTGTGGCTCAGTTGGTTAGAGTGTTGTCCCATACCCGAAGGATTGCAGGTTTGATTCACAGTCAGGACATATACCTAGGTTGCAGGTTCGATCCTCCATCCTTGGTTGGGGGCTCATATAGGAGGTAACCAGTTGATGCTTCTTTCTCACATCAATCTCTCTTTTCCTCTCTCTCTAAAAGCAATGAGAACATGTCCTTGGGTAAGGATAAAAAAAAAAAAACAACTCATGTTTTTAGCTTATTTAATCCTCACAACAACCTTGGGAAGCAAGTAGTATAATTATTCCCATTTTACAGATTGAGAAATTGAGGGTGGGAAAACTCAGGTAATTTGCCCAAGGTCATGCATCTAGTAGAACTGGAGGACCTGTATTCAAACCAGGCATTAATTCCAAAGCTCAGTTTTCAGATTTCCAAATCTGGTGCATTTTCTGTAGTCCTGCAGATGTCTCTCAGTTTGTGATGGCGGCTCTGAAATTAATCACAAAACAAAGGTTTGATGGATTGGAAAATAAGGTTTTGTTAAAATATGAAAGAAAAAGTCAGAGCCCTGAATGATATTGATCTAAAACTAAAAATTTGAAAACAAAATACTACAGTTTAGGAAATTATTTCTACCTTATATGAATTCACTTATATATATTTAAAATATATAGAAATTTAATATAAGTATATTTATATTAATACATATATATTTAAAATAAACATAATATTAAAATAAAGACAACTGTAAACTTCTTTCTTTAATTTATCTTTGACAAACACTTTTATTTGTAGAGGGTAGGGGGAAGTATAGGTTAGTGGAAAAAAGAATCGTATTTTAATCCCTAACATTTTTTTAAATCAGTGAGCATTGTTTTCTAATAAAATGTATTGTAGTTTATTAGTTATGACTGTAGGTTTGAACCTGACCTAGCTTAATCTAGTCATCACAGAAAGTGTCCCCAGATGACTGTATAGACAATGTGAAGAGAAAAGCTCTGTACTGTTGAATATAATCAATATAGACAATTAGTTGATAATTCAAGAACCATCTCTTCTGCCTCCTTACACACTCTCTCCCCAACCCCAACTCAGAAGCGCCTACACTTATTTTTCAAGGGAGATTTTTGACCTCCAGATAACTGCTTCAACTTTTCATTTCAGCCAAACCTTAAAGTTGAAAAGAAATTTCCACCTCTCATTCCATTTCCCATTTCTGATTTGAAGCAAGAGTGTATAACTTGGAACACAGGAAAACACTCATTCTGCACCTGCTCCACAACTCTTCATCTGTAGAGTTGAATACGTGAAGATTTTTGGGATTCAGTCAGCTTACAGGGGTAGATACCCAGAGGAACAGTGCTTCTTCACAGCCTCTCACTCCATTCCTTCTGCTCTCCACTAGCTTTTGATCAGCTGCTGGGCATATAAGCTGTTCCTCAGGGCCTTTAAAATAATGACCAACCCTTTTAAAAGGCTAACTGCTGCTTTTACTCACTTAACAAATATTTATTGATCATCTTTTAAGTACAAGACTTTGTGCTGGTTACTGTAGGAATACAAAGATGAGTAAACCATGGGTTGGTATGTTATTTTCTAGTAGGGGAATGAGGAGGATGAAAAAGGAAGTTTTCAACATTTTTTATTCAGAAAAAAGACCACACTTAGGACTGGGGTGGGTCGTGGAGGAGAGAAAGAGGAAAAATTGAGTTTTGTTTTTTTTTTTTTTAAGGCTTCTAAGGAAAAGGTGGCCTTTGAACTAAGCCTTGGAAGATGAATGGAATTTTTACATATGGTGGGGGTGGGGGTATTGACAGGACATAGAGGCATCTTGGGCAAAGAAAGAACTTGAACAAAGGCTTTCATGGTATATCTGAAAATCCTTTCATGAATTGTGGCATTACCTATACCAAGTGTTTTAGAGATGCAGAACTTAGTAATCATGAGTTGTTTTTAGTGAATGAGAAAAGTTTTCTAAGGTGAACTTAGTCAAATTGGATTTAATCTTTCTTAAATATGAACACATTTTAGTTATTGGGGAGAAAGTCTATCAAAATACAATAGTAAATACTTAGATTCCTCTTTACTACCCCTCCCCCCAACAGCTTTACATAGGCCAGAATTCACTTACTTTTGTTCAGATAGGCATTATACCTTATATTCTTTCAAATTTGAACCTTTGAAGTTGTAATTAATGGATATTTCATACTCATTAATTTCTTCAATAAACATCCATAGAGTATTAGGAATAGGATAGATACTGTAGAGCAATGGCTTTCAAATGTTTTAGACCATGACTCACAGTAACAAATACGTTTAGCATCGCAACCCATTATATTCATGAATACACATGCACATCACTGAAACAAAAATGTCATGAAGTTATACTTATTTGTACAATGTATGATGCACTTTGACAATTTCTTCTTTTTCCTTAATTTTTTTTTCCCCATTCATGGGTTTCAAAAAACAAAACAAAACAATATAAAAAATCCCCACTGTATGGATGCAAAAGGAAGTTTGCTGGGAGCTTGCAGGAGAAT